GGCATGGGGGTGGGGGTGGGGGGGGGGGGGGGGGAGAGGACAAGGGAATTCGTGGCTGATATGTAAAATTAAATTAAATTATAAAATAAATTAAAAAAGAAAGTCACAGGTGCTGAGTCTGGCCAATGTGGTTTATTTATTCTTTGGATCCTGCTAGGGAAAAGGTAGGTGGAGTCACGGGAACTTCCTCAGGTCTAGGTGAGGCAGGTAGTAACCTAGGCGGTGACGTTGAACCTGGTAGTCTCCCTCCTTTTTTCTTCTGCAGACAGTCACCTGTGAGGGTCAGGAGAAGCCATAAGAATGAATTAGTCATCCATCCAGGTAGGGGAGATAGCAGGAATGAAAACATGGCCAAAGCTAGAGACCTGATCTTTCTTATATCTCTATTCTTCCTTTTTCTGTTTGGGTTTCTCCCTTAAAATGTTTTCTCTCTCTCTTAGTCTCAACTATTACTTCACCCATATATCTATTATTTCTATTTTTGAATTAATTTATTAATATTCATTAAACATTTAGCTATCAATCATGTATAAACTTCTCTGTCATACATCAGTAATCTGGTCTCTGCTTGTGTCATCAGTTGCCTCTGAATCATTTATCATCTTGCAATCATTTATGATTCTATCATCTATCTATCATGTACTGTCTGTTATCTATATAGCTACTATCAACCATCTGCATATCCTTCTGTCAATTAGGTTCTGTCAACCATCTATCCATCATATTATCTCTCTCTATATTTCTAACTATCAAGCACATATCTACTTATTTATATTTTTTCCCTAATATTCTTGTCTCATTCTCATCCTAATTTCTGTGCTTCCTCCTCACTGTCATTTTTCTAGCTTAAAGGACAAATAATTGACATGAAATAAAGTCAACATATTTAAAGTGAATGATTTAGTGAAGCACAGTAGTATGTCTACTCACATCAATTAGGAAGTTGTTAATTTAATACTAACCTGGGCTATATAGTGAAATTCTGTTTCAAAAAGAAATAATTTATTTATAAGTTTTTATTGTAACCCTTTAAACTATCATGTAGTAAGGGGATGAAAAACACCCATTTATCATCTCTATGTTATGCTTCATCATAATTATTTCTTCTCTGACATTTGCAAACATAATATATTCCAAGAAATCTCAGGGCTAATTTCTGTCTCTACAGATCAACCATTCATTATTTTTTTTATTACTGAATAGCATTCAATTGTTGAGCTATACTTCTTGATGGAAACTTTTTGTTTTGTTTTCAGGTTGAGTTCACTTTTGTCTGTCTATTTTCCTTTTCTTCCTTCCTTCCTTCCTTCCTTCCTTCCTTCCTTCCTTCCTTCCTTCCTTCCTTCCTTCCTTCCTTTCTCTCTCTCCCTTTCTTCTTCTTTTCTTCCTTTCTTTCTCTCATTTCTTGTTTTAAATTTGGCTATGACTAAAAAGGTAGTTATTCACATTTTTTTTTTTACAAATCTTTGGATAGATGTTCTCTTTTTTATAGTCTTTAAAAGAACTTTTTATATGATATATTTTGATTATTTTTCATCCCTCAACTCCTCCCAGATATTCTTCACCTTCCTAACCTAACTCAACTTCATGCTCTTACACTCTCTCTCTTAAAAAAAGAAAAAATCAAAATGAAAACTCAGTAAGAAAAAAAAAAAAGCCAAAAAAAGCCCCACTCCCACAAAAAATCCCAATGAAGTTCATTTTGTGTTGGTCAACTACTCCTGGCTATAGTGCCTGCTCTGGAGTGTGGTTGGCAAATCTACTGACACTCCATTGGGGGAAAAATGATTTTTCCCTTTGCCAGCAAGTGTAAATTACAGTTTCTTGGTTAGGAGTGGGACTCTGTATCTACCTTCCCTTTTCAGTGCTGGAATTTTGTCTGGCTTGAACTTGCACAGGTCTTATAGATAGGTTTGTTCATTTTTCATGCAAAAATTAATAGGATTAGAATGGGTATGTCCTTTGGCAAGTATATGTAACTTTCAAAGAAATGACCAACCTACATTCCATTAGTTCTCAGTAAGTGTTCCTGTTACTTTATATCTTTGCCAGCACTTACTAGTATCAACTTTCTAGTTATTGTTTTAATCATTGTGCTATATTACTGTGTGAATTTCACTAATGACTAATGTTAGAATTTTAAATTCCATTGTAGAACACACTGACTACAGTTACTATAATACATATTTCATAAATGCCAAGGGTAGGATTCATACCATACAAAATGATAAGATGATATTTACTTGGTTTAGTTATTTTTAATGTATACCTCACAGCTTATACAAACACACATTATTTGTCAAATAAAAATAAAATAGACACTGAGTATGGTGGAACACACTCGTCATCCCATTGCTTGGGAGGCAGAAACTAAGGGACGGAGGTCTTGAACTCATGATCCTCCTTGGCTACCTAGTGAATTTGAAGCCAGCCTAGGCTAAAAGCAAATAATAAATAAATAAATAAATAAATAAATAAATAAATAAATAAATAAAATATTGATTGCAGTAAAATTTAAAAAAGTATATTTAAAAGGTCAGCCACATACAATCTAGAGGAAAATATTCACAAATCCTATCACCAGTGAAGGACTTGTGTATCTACAATAGACATTCATGCACTGCATAACATTAGGGCCTTATATTACAAATGCAATGTCATTATAAAAACATTATAGACATTCTTTAAATAAGCTTAGATGGCTACAACGACACTAGGCAGCATCATTTTTTTGGAGAACATTCTCATTTATGTGACACAAATGTCACATCCTAGGACCATCCTAGACCAAGGAAGTGCTGTTTGGGCTTGCCTGCTTAAAAGTTCTTAACAATTCAGTATTGAGAATACAGGACCCTCCCGCACCCCCCCCCCCCCGGGACTTCCCTTGCTCACCAGGAAACAGCACATCAGGCATGTGATGAGTACCAGTAGTACCGCCAAGCAGATGAGAATGATGGCCCAGAAGGGAAGACCTGGGGAGATAAATACTAGAATAAATCCCTCATCACCACCTCCTGGCAATCCTTCCTCAGCCCTGTGTGGCCTGAGAATGGGTATGAATCTTGTGGAGAGAGCTTAGTGGCTCAATTTCATGTGACCCCACACCCCACTTCTTTCTGTATGGGCTTCCAATAGGAAGAAAACCCTAATGTCTGTCCACTTTACCTAATCAGTCCTTGCCATGGTTTGACCCTCTTTCATTTATGACCCTTTGCATACAGCACTTGATAACAAGGTTACAGAGAACATGCTGCTATGATACCCTAGGCATGGACTACTCTGAAACTTACCAGAATTCTTTATCACATCATCCTCCCTGTTTGAAGAATATCCTGGAAATAAATGAAACATAGATTGCATATGAGAATGTCTTATTTACTTATTTTGAGTTTTTCAATACAGGGTTTCTTTGTGTAGCCCTGGCTGTCCTGGAACTCACTCTGTAGACTAGGCTGGCCTCAAACTCAGATCTACCTGCCTCTGCCTCCCGACTGCTAGGATTAAAGGTATATGCTATGACATCTGGCCAGTTTTTCCTATTATTTGAGGGTAGGTATAAAATCCAAGGTCTTAGACATGGGAGGAGAGTTCCGTACCACTGAGATATACCCTCAGGCATGCTTTATTCATTTTTTTTTTAAAAATTTGTTCCTTTGAGACAGGATCTCATTATATAGCCCTTTTGGAACTCACTATTTATTTGAGGCTGCCCTTGAACTCGTAAAGATCTACCTGCCTTTGCCTTGATAGAACTTAGACTAAAGACAGTCATCATCATGCCTGGCTATTCATTTAAATAAAACTTTACAGAAATACAGAATATAGTTATAATCCACTGCTTAAATTTAAGTATTTAATTTTGTTCAATTAAAATAGTATTTACAAATGATTGTCACTTCCTACCCTTGCTTCATTTAGCATTTTCATTCAGATTTTAAAATCAATTAGACATCACAAATTTTACTCTGAAAAAAGAAGAAATCTATCTAAGAACCCATGGCTGGGAATGTCATCTTGTCTTCACTGACCAGGGAGCCTTACCATCGACAAGGACACTCTTCCTGTCCAGGGTGAAGTTCAGCAACTGGGTGCCATTTTGTGTCATTCGAAGGAATTCCTCATAAATAGCAACTCGGTCCACTCGCCGAGCCAATGGTGAGAAGTTACACAGGGAATCAACTCCTGTGTGGTTGCTGTTGGAGACAGACCTGAGAGGGCACAGAGGATGAACAACAGTGTCTGCTATTCTACATTTGTTGTAGATTCTCTGTTGCTATTCTCTTTCTTGGAGAATTTTGTCCAACAATGCCACATTCTACACCTGCACTTTCTGATACAGGTGTTAATTGTTGATACTTTATACTAGAAATGTGGCAGAGGCCTAAATGAGTATTCTGTATTATACTCGTCCTCCGAAGGTTCTGTGATCATTGTGTAATGGGGCAGAAAGATTGTATGAGCCAGAGGTCATGGAGGAAGGCTGTGAAACAGTGTTTTCTAGATAAAACTGGACCACTGCATTTATGAGCTCACAACTGCTGTGGTTGCCTACAAAGAGCTTACATAAGCTAAAGCCAGGCTAAGACCTTGTTGCTGAAGGCGCCACACACTTTTTTTTACCTAAGACATGGAGAAATCACGCTGGAACTGACCAGGAAGTTTCCTCCCTAATGGCCAGCTTTCACAGTGCTGGGAGGTGCTATTCAGGATTCTGGGCTTGGGGGGTGATCACAAGCAGTCTTACTCAGCTGTGAATCCTGGGAACTACAATTATGACTTTGCCATGGGTTCAATAATGGCACAAATGGTATAGGGGTAACCAATTGCTCTCCAAGTGGATTTAAGACCTGCTTGCTCTGTGGGAGGAAATATGCCTGACACTGTAAATCTGGCCAAGAACCCAGTTGTGGAGCTCATAGCCCTCAAGAGTAAACCCGCTACTATTATTTTCCTAAATGGACATAGTTGGCAGAGACAGTCAACCAGGAATCATAATCACATGCAGTCTACAGTACCATGGCCTCCTAGATCTCTCCTCATGTGAGATTCTGCTGTCTTTTTGAAAAACATCTTCACTGTGCTTATGTGTGTGTGTGTGTGTGTGTGTGTGTGTATGTTCACATGTGTTGCATGGCTGATATGGAGGTCAGAGGACAACTTTTAGGAGTCAGTTCTCTCCTATCATGAGCATTTTGGGGCTTAAACATCATTCTTGGCAGCAAGTGTGTTTTTATCTACTCGGACATCTTATCGACTGAGAGAGATTCTCAGATCATGAAGGCACTTGATTTATTGAGACAATGATGGCTTATTTGAGATAGGGTATCACTGTATAGTCTTGGTTGCTCTTGAACCCCTAATCCTCCTGCCTTGGTCTTCAATACTTAGACAGACATTAGCAGGTATCAGGCCATTGAAGATGGACTCCTCCCTCATAATCAGATTTGGATTTCACAGCCTGATTCCTTGTTAACACTAGAAAAGCATTACATGTGTGTTTCTTAAAATTTCAAATTCATATGAAAAAGTGGCAATATTATAGTTTTGTTGAAATCTTTTAAGGCAAAGTTTCTTCTTTCTGGTCAAAAGAATGTATTCTGAGTTCTACCTCTATCCATGGGTAGAGCCATGATAATCTGTTCTGCCTCAAAGTTAAGAACATTATATAACACTATCTCCTTTAAGAGTTAATCCAACCAGGTTAGGAAATGCTAAGGAGATAGGAACAATTAACCTCCTAAAAAGTTATGTATTCATACTCACATTCTTTGATGCACTTGCTTACAGCTCCCCACTGTCTGCTTTTTCGAGTTACAATTAAAAAATCATTGCCTTTCTCCCTTCTATCTATTTTTAATGTGCCAGCCAGTGTCCTAACCATGCTTTCCCTGGCAATCTAAGCAGTCTTACTCTTTCTCTGAAGACTTCCTTCACCCTTCTGGCATAAATACTTCATATACTGTTTGAAGACCCCCAAGGCTTAACTTGACTCAAAAAGCATAGAGTTTTCTTTTCCTTTTCTCTCTCCTCTTCCTGGAAGGTCCCAGAATTTACACCTTGCCTATGCTGTTTTTCTCTCAAAGTCTAATAAAAGAGTAATCAAGTTTCCTTTTTTGTTCTTTTAAAAGTTGTTTTGTCGCCGGGTGATGGCGGTGCACGCCTTTAATCCCAGCAATAAGTCTAAATTCACAAATCGGAACCTCAGTTCTCTAGGAAAAAGAGTACTGGGGTTACAGATATATCTCCATGCCTGGCCTCATGTGGTAGTTTGATGATTCTTACTCTCATCCACAGATAAAGTATTTTATGTTGAAATCCAAATTACTCAAATAAAAGCTTGTTTGAATGTTGCCATTTTTTATGCAGATGTATATTTGCTGTAGTTCTATACTCTGGATTTTATGACCCCTCCTACCAATCACCATTATATCCAGTAGGCTTCATAAACTCAGCTAAGTTTCTAAGATAGTTGGACTTCCTATTGTATGGAAATGCTAGCTTTTAGGCAACAATTTTATATCCCTTGAGTTGTTTTCCCTAAAATAGGAGCCAAGAAATTATGAAAAGAGAATCATTTTGTTTCTCTCCCCCTGCCCAGCTCTGGGTAACAGGTGCATGGGGCCACGCGAGGTTTTTATATGGGTACAAGGGATCCAAACTCAAGTCTCCATGCAAGGTAATTATTTTACTTACATTGTGGCTGCTACCCTTGACAAGGCCACTAGAGGGGAGTGCTGTCCCAGGACTGTTCCCCATGGCTGCACGGTTACAATGTAGAGACTCTACACATTAGTAATTTCCTAGATTTCATGGTGCAGGGCTGTAATCCCAGCACTCTACACCAGAGGTTGAGGTAGTGGGACCAGAAATTCAAGGTCATATTCAGTTACATAATGAGTTTGAGATCAAGATGTCCTCAGGGTCCATAGACCCTGAATTGGCGCTTACCTGAAGGCTAAAACTTGACAGTCGGAAAAGTAACTCTTGATGCTGCTGTTTCTGAAGAGCTGGTTGAGCTGAAAGACAGGGCCATGTTCTCTATGTCAGAACCTCAGGTTCCATTCGCCACTAAGTATACTTCCCAATCTATGTTTTCATTGACAAATGCAAGCCCAAGCACAGGATGTCTTGTTCCAGGGCATGACATAGCTGTAGCACCCTTTCCTAGCTATTGAGTCTCTTTGTGTTCTTCATAATTTATAAATGGGAATAAGAATGTGCTTTCAAGAACTCTTATTCTTAAAAAGTTACCCACTGACCCAGTGTTCACAGTCAGTTTCTGCCTGGGAATGAAGTGGAGAAGCAACATGATTCTCACCGCATATTCAATACTTCTTTTGTTTTGCTCATGTTTGCTGGTCCCTGGCTGGGCTATGTCTTGGGAATAGGGTAGGTTGGTGATGGTGAAGTTCAGGTTGAAATGCTGAGAGCTGGAACTGGTTGTTGGGACTTCTGTTGGCAGAAGAATGGGTGGCTTCATGTCTGAGAGAGAGAGAGAGAGAGAGAGAGAGAGAGAGAGAGAGAGAGAGAGAGAGGTAAAACTTCCATATTAACTATTTGTCAACAACCAATCAGCTATTAATTACTCATTATGGGCACCCGAGGAGGCAGCTCATCTTAGTTTACATGTAGGATGCTAAGGAGATGACTCAGTCAGTGTGTGCTCACTGCACCAGCATGAAGACCTGAGTTTGAATCCCTAGCATCCACATAAAAAACTGGGAGAAATGACCTACTACTATTATTCTGCTAAATTTACATAGTATAAACTATCTTATGAATTCATATCTCTCTACCTATAGATTAATGCTACTTTCACACCTCACCAGAGAAGTTCCTTTGCATAGCACATAATGACAATTGTTAATAAAGAAATTCATAACTGATCAAAGTAGAGAGAATAAATTTCTCTGAAGTGCTCGGCCACAAATGGGACATCTATATCACACACACTGCCCCATAAGGTTTAGGGACCATTATGGAATAGGATGTAGAAAGACTGTAAGAAGCGCCAGTGGTCAGCAAGGACTGGGGCAAATCAGCATTTTGTAGACATAATAGTATAGCCATGTTTATGACCTGACAGCATCTGTGGTTGTCATCACAAGGTCTGTACAAGATCAATATTCTGTCTCTGTAAATATTCCAGTATGAAGAGAGGACTTCACAAGCCTCTATGCCTAGCTGAGGAGCCTAGCAGTTGAAGGCTTCTGATGGATAAAGAGTCTATTTTTTTTTGTAGTAGTGTGGCCCTAGTAGGTCCACCACATCCAGTGTGTGACTCACAGTGGATCCATGAATATATGGGCATCACAAACTGGACTTTGTGGGTTATGAGAAACAAGAGGATATTAAGTTGGGGGTGGTGGTGGAAGATGAGGGTGGATATGTAAGGAGTTGAGGGAGGAGCAGGGGCGCATACGACCAAAATGCATTGTATGCATGAATGAAGTTCTCAAAACATTAATACAAATATTATATTTAAAAAGCTGGGTATAGGCTTTGCTGACTCCCCATGGGAAGTCTTACCTTTTTGGAGGAGGGAATGGAGGATAAAAGGGAGGCTGGGGGTGGGAGGAGGGAAGAGAGGGGGATCTGTGGTTGGTATGTAAAATGAATAAAAAATTTCTTAATAAAGAGAAAAAGAAAAAAAAGCGAGGTATAGCATGCACCTGTAACCCTAGCACTGGGAAGAAGGGGACTGCAGGATTGTTAGGTCTTACTGACGATCTAGTATGTTTGGATGGTGAGATCCAGGTAGAGTCTCAAATAATAAAGTGGAGTGAAATACAGAAAGACACCTGGTATCAACTTCTCCATCCACACCATGTACACCACACTCACAAAGTTTACAAAATAAAATAAATCCCTAGGTGTATTTGCTTCATATTCCTCTTCTTGCTTCTTTTGGATGAATCATAGGCAAGAACCATGAACATAGGCCTCCAGAAATCTTTTTTTATACCTCTATTTCACTACTACTCAGAAACCTTTTTCTTTCACTTAATTGACCTTATTGCTTCCACTTATAAAACCAGCACCACCATATGTTGTAGATGTAACCAACCATCTTATTAAATAAGAAACACAGAACCAGTGTAAAAGAGAAAGCCAAGAGATCAGAGCTCAGAGCTAAAATCTCCCCCTCCCTCCTGTGGTGGTCCTAGCTCTCCGAAAGAGAGCTACTTCCTGTGTGTATGTCTTTTCATAGTCTTTTTGTTCTGCTTTCTCATTGGTTGTAAACCCAAACATGTGATTGCCTCATCACTGCCTGTATGTACAGCCCCCCAGGTCTTAAAGGCATATGTCTCCAATGCTGGCTATATCCCTGAACACACAGAGATCTACCTAGCTCTTCTACCAAGTGCTGGGATTAAAGGCGTGTGCCACCACCGCCACACTCTTGCTATGGCTCTAATAGCTCTGACCCCCGGGCAACTTTATTTATTAACATACAATCAAAATCACATTTCAGTACAATTAGAATACCACCACAATATGTACCTATCACATGCAGATCTGTCAGTTGGTAGGTGGCACCCAGCCAGTGGGAGGAGGCATTCAATGTCTTATTTAAAAAGACTTGCTTCACAAGGTTGGGGTCAAGATAAGAGGAGAACAATGCCTCAATAGTGACCATCATGGAGCCCGACCTAGGAACAGAGACCATAAGAATTCAGATAGCAATGAATACTAACAGTGTTTCAAGCTGCTACTGTTAAAGTGTCATAGATCTCTGAGTATGAATTGGGGTTATCCAGATTCCTCAGGACCCCTTTTTTCTGGTTTTCTAGGAAATGTGTTTTCTAGGAAATAAGCTGAAACTATTACAGTATTACATATATTAAATACTTGATATGCATTACTATCCTTAAAATGTGGTTTCTGTCACTCTGGTGGAAGATGTTACTATAATTATCCCCATGTTAAATTTTAGAGGTGGACAACACTTACAATATAAGTATAAAAACCTGAGTTCAGACAACAGAACCTTTCTAAAAAATCCTGGGCATGGCTGCCTGTGCACAGTCCTATAACCCAACATTATTAGGGCCAGACAGGAGAATTGCTGGTCTTGCTCACTGCAAGCCTAACTCCAGGTTCAGGGAGATGCCCTGTCTCAAGGGAAAAAGGTGGAGAGTGACATAGCAGGACATCTGATATCCTGTGCTTGTTCACCCACACACACATGAATGTAGCACTCACATATACCACATATATACAAATAAATGAACACCAAAGGCACTGAACTTTGCAAGTATTGCAAGTCCTATGTTTGGTGGCCCAATGCTTTCAAGCACAGTCATCTTTGTCCTCTCCCTAAGACCAGCTTTTAAATTTCATGTTGATAGTCTTCAGAAAAATCATTTATCCAAGGCTCAGATTCTCATATATGACCACTGTAACTACCTCACAGAGACCTATGAGAGGATTAAATAAAATGATCATGTGTGAAACTGTTCAATAGAGAGGCTAGTCTGGGATATAAAATTATCATGTTTATACTTTAAATTCTATGTCAAAAAACTGTTCTCCCATATCCATCCATTATTGCTAAATCTATGGAAGCTGATCAGGTTCCAACCTTCAGAACTTACGTCAAGTTGGTGACCAGGCAAGACTGGAATACTTCTTGTAGCTGGCTGCCTGTGTAGAGTGTGGTGACCTAGAAGTAGGAGTAGGGAAGGTTGGTTAGAGAGAATTCCCACGGGGGTGGAGAGATCACTAGAAACAAAGGAAAGAACATGGGTTTCGGGACAAAGGAGACCTCAGTTCAAATACTAGCTCTGCTCCGACTTACTATATACCTCCAGGCACCCCATAACTGGTATGGTTTGGGTCTGAAATGTCCCTTGGGGGAGGCTCATATGTTTAAGGCCCATTCTCTACTGTACCTATATAGAGCTTACAGGAAATGATTAGATAATTGAAGCTTTGACATTTTTTCCCCCTCAAGATAGGGTTTCTCTGTGTAGCTCTGGCTGTGCTGGAACTAGCTTTGTAGAGCAGACTGGCCTCAAACTCAGAGTCCACTTGCCTTTGCCTCCCAAGTGAACACTTAAAGGCATGCACCACCACAGCCCAGCCAAGCTTTGACCTCTTGATGGAATGATCCATCCAGGAGTTCATAATTAAGTGAAGTCTTGGGAAGTAGTGGAAACTGCAAGGGAAGAGGTCTAATTGGAGGAAATTGGGAGTATGCTGTTCAAAGATGAGATCTTGTCCCCAATTCTTCCTCTCTTTTCTTTACTTTCTGGCTGTCACGTGGGAGTGGTTCTGTCATCCACACATTCCTGAAATGGTTATGATCTGCCTCACTTTAGACCCAAAGTAACAGAGATGGCTGAGCGCAGACTGGTACTTCTAACACAATCAGTCCAAAAGAAACCTTTCTTTGGCAAGCTGTTTATTTCAGGTATTTTTTATAGCAACAGAAAGATAAATTTTTTATTTATTATTATTTTATATATATGATGTGGGGTTCACTCATGCCATGGCACATATCTGGAGGTCATAGTACAATGTTATGGACTTCTTTCCTTCCACCCTTAGATGTGGATTGATTTGGGGTGTTTGATCTAGGAATCAAACTCAGGTCATTAGGTTTGCCCAGCAAGGGTTTTACACTCTGAGCCATCTCTTCAGCCCTCACAGTGCTCCTCTATGAGCTTCAGTTTCTGTGCCTGGGAAACAGACAACCAAGCTACACTGGTACCTGTGTAAGCACTAGAGAAGTGGAAACACGGCAAAGTTGAATTAATTACTTGGCAGATATAAGTCTGATGGAGTAATGATAGGAGTACTCGGGGAAGGAAGAGATGGGCAATTTAAAAGTGACCTCACCTTATCTTCGATGTCCCTCTCTAGAGTGACATACTCTGAAGATGTTGGGTCTGTGTTGCTAAGGTCCCAGTTGATGATGTGAAAGTTTATCTGGTACTTGCCCTTTATGGTTACATTCTGGAGCACATAGCCTACAATAACAGAGAAAGAAAAGACCATTTTTAATTTAAATAACATTTTTTTTTCATTTATTTTACGTACCAACCGCAGTTTCCCCTCCCTCATCTCCTCTAAGTTCTTCCCTCTCCCACTTCCATCTACCTTCTCCGCATCCACTCCTCTTCCTTCTCAATTCAGAAAGGGGCAGGCCTCCCATGGGCTTGAGCAAAGCATTACACATCAAGTTGAGGGAGGACCAAAAGTTCCTCCTCTTGTGTCAAGGCTGGGCAAGATAATCCAGCATGGGGAACAGGTTACCCAAAGCCAGCTAAGTGCCTGAGAAAGGTCCTGACCTCACAGGTATGAGTCTTAGAAAGAGATCAAGCTACACAACTGTCACACACAGGCAGAGGGCCTAGGTCGGTCCCACTGATGCTCTCTAACTGTTGGTCCAGAGTCCATGAGCTCCCTTGAGCTCAGGTCAGCTATCTCTGTGGGTTCCTCTGTCATGACCCTCCCAACTCACACAATCCCTTCTCCTTTCCTTCAGCAAGACTCTCAGAGCTCAACCTAATGCTTGGCTGTTACTAGATAGAGTATCTCTGATAACAATCAGGGTAGTCACCAATCTGATTACAGTAAAGACCCTTAGCTCTTTGCACAGGACTGGAGTTACATAGAAAACCTCTGATATGAGAATGAACCTAAAGAAGGTGTGCATGCTAGGGATATAGAGGACTCACAAATGGGAAGTTACTCCAAACACAGGAAAATGGAACTTTTTTAGATGTTCATATTACTCAGATTTTTTGTTTTTTGCTTACTTGGGTTCTGTTTTCTGGAATGTTCTTCTACCTTCTTCACCCAGAAAACTCCCATTTATGCTTCAGGAGTTCAACATGATGGGTATGGGGAAAGTATATACACCTATCTTGTTCTCTGTCTTGTCACACTTCTGTCATGTCAGACTCCATTTCAGGAATCCCTCCTAGTCTCACCATTCCCCTGAGCTCCTACAACACACCGCTGCTCATATGAGACTTGTTAACATACAGGAATCCCATATGGAAGAATCTACAACCCTTTTCCCAAGGAACACATGGGTCAGACACTTGGATCTTAAATTAACGTTTATCACAAATCAGCCTAGAGGCTATTATATCATATGAAATAATTTGTAGAAAAATACACAATATGATCTCACTTGTAAGTGGAATAAATATTTTGTAAAATTATTATATAAAATTTCCAAAACAATTCCGAGTAGGAAAAAGATCAAACTTACAGAGATAATGAATAGAATAGTGCTATCAGTGTGTGTGTGTGTGTGTGTGTGTGTGTGTGTGTGTGTGTGTGTGTGTTATATGTATGTGTAAGATGAGGATCTGTTAAACAAAAGGCATGGTTTCTCAGCTGAAGTGTACATCAACTGATGAATGGATAATGGCACAGATCGAGAATGAATTCTCATTTGTACCAACTTAGGGACACATCTGACAAATATTTGAAATCTAGAGGTGATTTAATAGGAGTTGAGAACTGAATGGGGATGACTGGAGGCCTAGGCATGGGAAGAGGATGGAGAAAGGTTGATCCACTAGCCTTCAGATCCAGCTATATTGATGTAAGAACTCTGGTGTTGTTACAGAGAGCAGGACTACAGATGATGGCAATGAACTGCAAACTTCAGAAAGGGGAAAGGATTTTAAAGAATTTTTTATTTTTACTATAAAGAAATAATAAGCAGAGAGTTAGATATGTCTAACACGATTTAAACATTACCCAATGCAAAAATGAATGGCAACATGTTCACCCTGGAACATGTTAGCAACATATTATGTATTTGAGGGTCACTTAAAAGTACTGTTTAAAAAAAGAAAAGAAACTTTAAATATACAAAGGTTTTAAGAAGGTAAAATTCTGAAAATTATTGTAAAATATGTGACTAGTTAATATGTATGTGTAATTGATATTTTCAGATGTAAATTATACAAAGAATGTGGTTTCAGTCAGGCATTTCTACACATGCATAAATACGTATGATCATTCTTAGTTTCTTTTTTATGGAATTTTTTTATGAAGATTTTTTTATTCATTTTATATACCAACCACAGATCCTCCTCTCATCCCTCCTTCCACTCCCCTACAGCCTTCCCTCTACAACTCACCCATCTCCTCCTCCAAAAAGGTAAAGCCTCCCATGGGGAGTCAGCAAAGCCCAGTACTTTATCTCCTTCCCTCTCCCGGTTTTCTCTTTCCCTTTTTCCCATCATTCTTAAAGATTTGATAGATGATGTTTGGTTTGGTTCTGTATTATTGAGACAAAGTTTCACACTGACACGATGGACTGGGAACTTACTATGTGACATAAGCTGGTCTTATACTAATGACAATCCCCCTGCTTCAGCCTTCTGAGTACTGGGATTATAAGTGTTAGTTACTGGGCCCAGTTCTGAGAAGGGATTTTAAATGTTCTTCCTGTTATTTCTGTCTCTCTGTCTCTCCCTTCCACTAGCTATTTACAGGGATATGTGTGTTAACTACTTTGATTGTAGAAAGTCATTTCATAAACTATGCTTATACCAAACTACCATTGTGATCATTTTAGCTATATGCAGTTTTTTTTTAAATTTTATTTATTTATTATGTATGCAGTGTTCTGCTTGCAGGCTAGAAGAGGGCACCAGATCTCATTACAGATGGTTGTGATCTACCATGTGGTTGCTGGGAATTGAACTCAGGACCTCTGGAAGAGCAGTCAGTGCTCTTAACCTCTGAGCCATTTCTCCAGCCCAACTACATACAGTTTTATCTTAAATCTCAACAAAGCAGGAGGCTTTTAAATGTATGATATTAGTTTGGTTAACAAATTTCATGTTATTTATCTGTCTTCCTTGTGACAGTTTAGGGAAGGGTATTACTCTACAATCAACATAAGGGCTAACTTGGCTTCATAGAGAAGGAAATAGAATGAAGGCATGTAAGTGCAGGCTCAGGACAACCAATCACTGCTGATGATGGCTTTCCTAGTTCATGAGATGGAGGCCTGATATTCTTACATAAGGCATTTGAATTGTATACTTACCTTCTATCTATCCACCCACTGAAACAACTCATTTTTATGATCACATCTTGATGCTCCTCAAGATGGCTTTAAACCCATGGTTTAAATAATCTTCCTGCCTCATCTTTCCAAGTAGTGAGGACTAAAAGTACATACCACAATCCCTGGCTACACAATTAATATTTAATGATTATTTTTTGATTCCTGCCAAGAAAATGTAACTGATTCACAACTTGCTTTATTGCAGTGATACCCTAGCTTGTTTCTAGCTCCTTCTCTCTGGGATGGTTGAAGGTATGGGCAGGGACTATTGTTTTCCCCCTGACTATAACGGTGGGAGGTTTGGTAGTGGGTCACTTACCACTAGGGGTAGTTCTTGTAATCTGGTGAGTGTAACCTGGAAGATAGGGAGGAGAGGTATTGGTGAGGTATTTGTGAAAATAGTTTAGCAACCTGGGACCCTATTTGTGTCAAGCTATTAACATTCCTTTCTAGTCCGAGCAGTAGGTCACTCTACCATCACAACTTCTTACTAGCCTGCTACCCACCACCTGTTAGCTAGTCCCTTTGTGGGCAAACATATCCATGAATGAGAGGTGGTGTACCAATGCAGCCTGAACTGGTTTTAGATGTGTGGGTGCAGTTTTAGGGAAAATTCTCTATTTAGCATCATATGAGTGCATGAGTAGACATGAATATGATTAAAAGAAAATGTATCATTAGAAAGTACAGCTGCAGTGAGCAAAGGTTTATATGACCTACACATAACAATCAAAACAGAGAGCCAGCTGTAACCCAACCCCAGTAAACAACTCAGCCTCCTCTAGGACCCACAGAAAGGAGCCTTGAGAAGGTGACCAAAGGCTCTTGAGCAAATCGAGCTTCAGCTTACTGCTTCCTTGTAGTTTATCTGGTCTGTATATTTTGTTTTGCTTTTGAATTAAAGCTCTTGCTACTTAATTATTTGTGTGTGCTTTTTCAATTCTTTGAAGAACTACTGAAAACCTAGAAACACTAAGATCAGACAGACACCACAAGTAACTTTGGCAGACATAGAAAAAAATTAAAGGATGCCTGGAAACACTCCACAGCAAACCACAGACCACACTCACCATTGACATAGAGACTATTCTGGTCCAGCATGTAGCTACCCAGCTGGGTGATGCCATGAGTCAGCTGACTCAGCTTTGTATAAAGCCCCTGAGTGTCAAGCTCAGGATATGCTGGGTTATGGTGATAGGAGCAGATAGCATTCACACCAGTGGCCGTTCCATTCTTCTTAGGCCTGAAGAGAAAGGAATATAGAGACATTAGAAAGATCCTAATATGGATATAAGTCCCAAAGAAGGAGGACCAAGCAAAAGAGACACAATAAGGGATGGCCATTCCTGTGGAGTGGATATAAAGGAGAATTACCTGAGGGAAACCAGTCTGCAATCTGAATAGAGGGATTCATTCTGGACCAAGGGTCCAAGCTGAAAAGGAAAAGCAAGGGAAGAGGTAATGGAGGAGGGAATAGGCCTTATCAAATTGGAAGTTATCGGAATGAGCATCTCACCAGGTGCTGCAGGATCCTCTCAGTGGAATTAAACATGGCTGAGCTCATGCCTGCTGAGTATGGGAGGTTGGAGATAGTGAAATTGAGTGTGAAAGTCTTCAAATGCCCCATGGCTACAGGAAGAGAGGAAGAGAAATAAGCACAAGTTACAGTTTATGTGAGATAAGTCTGAACTCCTGCACTTATCAGGTCATCGTTCTCATTGTATGACTACCAACAATGTACCCATCTATGAAAGAACCTGAAAAGCTCTTCATCTCCATGTCACACCAACTATCTTTCCTGAATGTTCTTCACATGCATTCTCTCTGCTTCAGCATCACAGCTAGGTCTTATCCTCTTCTGTCCATGCTAAAATCCTAGAATACCCATTGGATGATTTGTCTAAAGGATGTTACCTATGCACCCCAACAGAAGAATGTTTATACAATGAAAATCTCACTAAGAGTGCCCCCACTCTAGGATTACTCATTACTCTTTTGAACTTTTAATATCAAATTCAAGTTTATTTTGCCTTGGTTTTGTTTCGTGTGTGTGTGTGTGTGTGTGTGTGTGTGTACCCACACATGCAAATGTGGGGGCCAGGGATTGATACCAAGTATCTTCCTTAATCTCTATCAACATTATATATTGAGGAAGGGTCTCTTATGAAAACTCAGGTTACATTATTGACTAGACTAGCTGGTCAGTTTTGATGAGGGTCCTCTTTCTTGTCTTTCCAAGTGCTGGGATTACCGATAGGCTACCATGTTGGGATTTTAACTGTAGTCCACATGTTTGTTTAACAAGCACTTTAACCATTGAGAAATCTCCCAAATCCCAAGGTGAAGTTTCTTGATTAGGCATTCAAGGTCCTTTCTGATCTGGTCTCTTGTTATCTTTTATCATTTAGTTACTTATTCATTCCTCAACTACCAGCATGGCCCTGTGAGTCCAGAACTAGACATCCAGAAGCTATACTGGGAGCTGAACTTTTTTGTTTCAGATAAACCAATTTCTCTATTCTCCCATCACATTATGTTGCTGTAAGCCTCGGAGCCCTCACTGAGGGAATACTCCCAGTAAAACTCCAAAACTTATTTATCTGGGTCACTTCTACTCACCTTGAGAGATTCAGTTCAGGTGCAACATTCTCCAGAAAGTCATTGCCTCTTTATATTATGGTATGTGACTCCTCTCCCACAAAAATTCCTCACTGTATTAATTCAGAGTCTGGTGGTTGCATGAAGGGAGACATCTGATTGAATTGCTAGACATATCTTTATTATTATACTGTGATGGCCTTGACACTAGGACATTCACATCCTAGTGTTCTAGTTGTCATATGGAAGTTAGGTAGTGAGGTGTGGCATGGGAAACTCATCTAGGATAGGAAGAAGAACTGCAACATACCTGTTGTGGGTTCTGGCTGCACAGATTTTGATGGAGAAGCCAGGATGGTGGTGGGTGACCCAGGAGCTAGGGAAAGGATTATCATCAGGATAGACAGTGGCTTCACATAATGAGAGAACCTTCCATCAGTGGTCCAAGCCATGAAAATCATTCCCAGGTGGATCATAAACAAGAGTAAAGGACAGAGTGATTGCCTGAATGAAGGGGGACAAGTCTGTGAATGTAATCAATTCAAGATAGTGAAAGTGGATAGCAGGAGAGGGTAAGCAAATAGGCCAGATGAACTGGAAGACAAAAAAATGTAGAAGATATGAATGCACGTGTAGAAGGATGATAGATAAATGGATAGTCAAAACAAAATCAAAGAATAAAAATAAAGAGAAGGCGGAATGATGGAAGGAAGATAACATTTAATAAAGAATAGATAAATATATGTACATGGTATAGATGATAGATGAACATGTAGGTGGTAGATGAATATATGGGATATATGGTGTGTGTGTGTATTTGGATGGATGGATAAAGAGAGTAAGAACAGGTGGAGGGAACAAATGCCAAGAAGATAACTGGATAGAGAATATTGGTAGATGAGTAGATAGATTGACAAATACAGATAAATGGTTAGACATATGGGTCAGTGGGTACATATATGAGCAGATACATAGATGAATGGATAAGAGAGTAGGTGAATGGATGGATAAATAGATACATATACCAATGGAGAAAAGACAGAAAGAAGTAATTTCAAGCAGGCAAATGGACAGAACGAGGTGGTCTGTAGATGGATGGACAAATTGACAGATGCAGAAGTAGATAGATATATGGATGGATGTTTAGGTAGGTAGGTGATTGTCTAGCTGACTAGATGGGTCTGTAATTATATGCATGTGTTGGTAGATAGAGAAAGCAAGTAATCAATTAATGAAGGATAAGCAGGCCAATGGGTGGAAATATTGGTGGATGGATGCAGGGGGTGAAAATGGATTAACAAATTAACTGTAGAAGGAAAAACAGAAGGAATAAAGATAATACATGAGAATGGGCAAGAAAGTGGATGGGAAGACAGGTAAGTAGATATGCAGATAGATGTATGAGTAGATATGTAGATGGATGGATAGATCGATGGAAATGTGGTACCTGAGGATGAATGAGTAGAAAAATGAAAAAAAAGGATAGCTACAAAAACAGAGAAATGGATTGCTGAACAAGATAATACAAAGGAATTTCTAGAATCACTTAAGTAGCCATCAGAATTTTCAACTTAATAATGAAGCTCCTACTAGGGAACATTTTATTTGTTTTAAAAGATGTAAACTCCAGTCTTCATCTGAATTCAGCCCTGTAATTCTGCAGGCAACACTTGTATAAATATCTTTCTCTAACCAAGAGGAGTGAAGAAAAATCTAACACTTGAACTGAAATTCCAAGAAGAGGCCAGAGACAGCAACTTTTTTCCACTAAGGCCTTAGTCCCTTTCCAGAGATTGCCTTGTGCTTATGGCAAGTTTCCTTTATAAATGAAGAGAAATGTGTGGACCAAGACCTAGATAGACCAAATTGATACATACTTGTAGGAAGTCCTTCTGCACCATGTTCATTGTAACCTATAACACAAAAGGCACACATAAGGAAAAGTAGCAACAAGGTCCCACACTCCGTGCCTTGGTACACATGGGGCAAATATGGATGCATGTATTTATACATAATTATTTAGAAACTACTTCTGTTCTAAGAGCTAACATAAATATCAACATGAACAAGAATTTATTGCCATTTCTGCCAGATCTAATACTTCCTTACCACTTCTAGAGGATGTTCCTAACAAGAGCGTCTCATAAGAACTACTGTCATACCTTAATCCCCATTTATATGTACCCACCTACACTATCATCTTCCCTTGTACTCTGCCTCTATCTATTCATCCAGTTGATGTTTATTGAGTACTTTCTATATTCCCCACTCCCATTTGAAGAATATAGTGTTGAAAAATATCTGTGCCTCACTGTAGTTTACATTGGGGTAAACTTCATATGTAATTTATTTGTCTCTGGTGCTAAGCTTAATGTTTGGCTAAGATTCTTGGTACTATTGAGTAGACAACATATTAAAGCATATGAATCAAGCTGGCGGTGGTGGTGCACGCCTTTAATCCCAGCACTTGGGAGGCAGAGCCAGGCGGATCTCTGTGAGTTCGAGGCCAGCCTGCACTACCAAGTGAGTTCCAGGAAAGGCACAAAGCTACACAGAGAAACTCTGTCTCGAAAAACCAAAAAAAAAAAAAAAAAAAGCATATGAAATATGAATCACCTACTTTATGAAGGCTAAAACCCTATATGTGTCCTGCAACTTCTGAATTATAGTGACCAGATGAAAACTCAGATCATCAAAATTCTGATTAGCAATAACCTGTTATAGGAGTATGAATTCCCCTTTCTCTTCACTCCTTATTGTTAAAATGAGGGTAATAGATAGAAAGACAAGACACCAACACTTTTGAATGCAGGAAGCAATTAATCTTGAACTGAACTGCAAGCTCTTTTATTGCTGACTGGTGTACCTTGTAGCAGAAGGTGAAATGCAGGCTGCTGAGAGAAAAATAATTAACGTTTTTACCTAGCTGCAGACCTTGTGTGTTACAATAACAAATGGGCAGCAAAGATGTGCTCAATAGTGCAATTGTGGCATGACTATTATGGGTAACCAACTGATTTCACAATGGATACTGGAATTGGTTCAATGGAAGTAATTTATTCCTGGTACTATAAACCTCATAAAAACCTTTGAGAAGGTAATTAGCCCTACAAGGAAAAATTACTTTCTTGTTCCAAATAGACGTGGCAACAAAATGCTTTGTAAATATTTATATTCATAACCATCGGCTGTGGTGATATATTTGTAATCTAAGAAATAAAGTTTGCCTTGAAGATCAGAGGACAGAGCTAGCCACAGAATTAGCAACAGAGGTCAAGTAGTAGTGGAACACACCTTTAAACCTAGCACTCAGGAGGGAGAGGCAGAGATCTGTCTGGATTTCTGTGAGTCCAAAGCAACACTGGGCTATATAAGATTAATCCAGTCTAAAAGAGAAACAGCCAGGCAGTGGTGGCACACACCTTTAATTCCAGTACTTGGGAGCCACATGCCTTTAATCCCAGTACTAGGAAGGTTGAGACAGGAAGTGATATGGCTGGGCAGAGAAAGGAATATAAGGCAGGAGGAGACAGAAATTAGGCCTTTTTGGCTGAGGACTAAGAGGCATTCAGTCAGAGGATTCATGGAGTGAGAAGTGGCTGTGACTTGTTCCTTTGTCTCTCTGATCTTTCAGCATTTATCCCAATATCTGGTTCTGGATTTTATTATAAGGATTTGTGCAGTAGGCACTGACATTTCAGGCTTGATCAAACAAGCAGAGTGCGGAGAAAAAAAAATGTAGACTCAAGGTATTGAGAATGACTGTTGAGTGCTCAGGTATAAAGAATTATTTATTGTAGCATGAATCTTAAAAAGTTCTTATTAATAAAATCAAACCTGAGGCCAGTTATTGGGGTGAACACTGGAGGTCCAGAGAGACAGAACAAGCCACAGCTAACCTCACCTGGCCAACTTCTCAGCTGGTCTTGTTTCCTCAGACTGGAAGCTTCTGTGTCCTCATCCCAATGGCTCTCAGCTGAACTATGCTGCTAGAAGCCTGAAAGCTTAACCAGCCAAATGCTTAACCAGCCACATGCTTCTAGTTCCTGGTCTTCACGCCTTATATATCTTGCCTTTCTACGATCACTCCCTGGGATTAAAGGCTCACTTCTTAGGATTAAAGGCGTGTGTCACCATGCCTGGCTGTTTCCAATGTGGCCTTGAACTCACAGAGATCCAGAGGGATTTCTGTCTCTGGAATGCTAGGATTAAAGGTGTGAGTGCCACCATTTTCTAGCCTCTGTATCTAGTGGCTGTCTGTTCTCTGACCCCAGATAAATTTATTAGGGTGCACAATATTTTGGGAAGCACAATACCACCATAATTTCTAATATTTCCTAAGAAGCTCAGAGAAATTTTCATATACTCAGAAGCATGTGAACATAAAAATGCTTGAGAATATCGCATAGCAAATCAGAGAGCATACTCACCATTGACATATAGATTGTTCTTGTCCAGTGAGTAGTTGCCCAGCTGGGTGATTCCTTGGGTTAGATTTTTCAGTGCTGAGTACAGTCCTTGGATGTCCATCCCAGGATGTGAAGGGTCATGGTGGTAGGTGCAGATGGCATCCACACCAGTGACTGTTCCATTCTTCTTAGGCCTAGGGAGAGAGGAGAGTGGAGATTTCAGAAAAGTCAAAATGAAGATCAGAACCAGAGGGAAGAACTAGGAATGAGAATGATAACAATAAGCAATGGTCATTCCTGGCCAATGGTCAGGAAGTAGCCTCACCTGAGGGAATCCAATCTGCAGGTTGAGTTGAAGGAGCCATTTTGGAACAAGTGTCCAAGCTGTGGATGGTGAAGGAGGAGGGAAATGAAAACAGGCATTGAAAAGGAGGTCATATGGGATTTATCTCCCCCAGACTGCTTGGATAAGGTTCTCACCAGGTACTGCAGGACACTCTCAGTTGAGCTGAACACAGCTGAGCCATTGCTCATATTTGATGAATATGGAAGATTGGTTATGGTGAAGTTGATTGTTAGGATCTCCAGATGGTGCCCCATAGCTGCATGAAGAGAAGAGATACAACTGAAAATTTGCTGATACCAGAGTAGAATCCTGTTCTCATCAGCTTATCTTCACTTCCACCCTCTTAACATATAACAAAATAACCATTCAGGTCAGAAGCTACACAACTTTTTAGCTCTACATCACACAAATTTTCTGAACATTGCTTACATTAATTCTGTATTTGTTCTAGCTTAAGTCTTATCTACTCACAACCAGAATTTTTTTCCTTCAGACTCAATGGATGCTCTATCTAAAGATGTTCTCTATTGTGAGCACTAGGAGTGCCTTTCTGAAATTAAAATTCTCACTAGGACTGTTCATAGTCCACTACTACCCATGGTTCCATGTGTACTTTCAGGGTCAAATACAAGCCTGAAAAATTGACACTTGTGATGGCTAATATTGGTTGGCAAGTAGTTACACTTGGGAAGAAAGATTAGAGAATTGCATCCATCAGACAGACCTTTGGGTATACCTATCTGGTATTACCTTGACTGCTATTTGATGTAGGAGACCCATTCAACTATGAGCAGCACCACCACCAGTCAGATGGGCTTGGAATGTACAAGAAAGCTAAGTGATATGAGCCTGAAAATAAGCCAGTATGCAGTGTTCCCCCATACTCTTCTTTAGATCCTCTCTAGCTTTATGCCTTGAGTTCTTACTTGGCTTCCCTTAAGTATAGACTGTGACATAGAACTGTAAGTTGAAACAAACTCATACTTCCCAAAGTTCCTTTAGACTATCACATTTATCACAGAAGCAGAAGGCATCCCACGGCAGCTTTCAATGCTGGGGTAATGCTTTTGCACACTGGTTTAATAAAATGCTGATTGGCCAGGAGCAAGGCAGGAAGTATAGGTGGGATAAGCAAACAAGGAGAATTCTGGGAAGAGGAAGGCTGAGTCACCAGCCAGATACAGAGAAAGCAAGATGTGAAGGCAGAGCTGAAAAAGAAAGGTACCAAGACACATGGCTAAACACAGATAGGAATCATGGGTTGATATAAGTGTAAGAGGTAGTCAATAATTAGCTTGAGTTAATGGCCATATAGTTCATAATTAATATAAGCTTCCCTGTGGTTGCATGGGTCTGAGCCAGCTGTGGGACTGGCAGGTAAGAGAGATTTGTCCTGACTGTGGGCCAGGTGGGACCAGGAAAACCTCAGCTACACTTCAAGTCATCGTCCACTGACTTCCATTCTCTTTTACTCATCTATCCTGACACGAGCACTATGACTCAGTAGGTGCTAAGCAGGACACAGAGAGGCTGCACTGGGAGTTGAACAATATGATTCATGGAAATCAAAATCCTCTCAATTCTACATATTTACTACATTGTTCCTGGTCACTGAGCCCTCATATTAAAATCCTCATTTCCTGGAACCTTTCATTCTTACTTTATCTGGATGACTCCTACTTATCCTGAGAGAGTAAGTTCAGGAGGAATATTCCTCAGCAAGCCTTTTCCTTTCTACATTATGTTATATGCCTGTTTCTCCCACAATCCCAACCCCACAACTAACCAAAGTATTGTAGTAGTCTATTTGTTTCACATGTCATTTGGCTGAATGTGGACAAGAAACAAGTTAGATTATTAGTCTGATCCTTGTGCATTTTAAAATGACCCTGACACTAGAACCTTCATATACTGGTTTCCTAGCTCTATCTGGAAGACAGATGGTGGAGGTGTGGGTAAAGGGAACTAAATAAAGGTAGGTAATGGGACCCAAGATACCTGTGTCAAGTTCTGGCTGCAGAGATGTAGATGAAGAAGGTAGGGTAGTGGTGGCTGGCTCAGGAGCTAAAGAGAGAATAGCCATTGATGAAATCCTCATTTCCAAGAACATTTCATGTTTCATTTTTCTGGATGACTCCTACTTATCCTGATAGATTCA